CGGTGAGAGGGGGGGTTGTGGGAGGGCGGGGCGTTGCTCGTGGAAGATGAGGGAATTGGAAGGAGTGCGGGTGGGCATGTACAATGAAAGCGCGGCGAAGCACGAACGCGCATCCCCGGGCGGTATAACAAAAAGTCCTGGGAGCACCCGTTGTTATGCACGCGACGACAGCAAAGTACGGACATGACACGCACGCAGGAGTCCATAGCCAAGCGCCTCGGGTAGTTCCATCCTTTCTGTCTCTTCTTCGGTTCATGTGCCCCCCAAGTCACTGCCCCTCTAAATTCACAACTCTGCACATTCCCACAGCCCCCCTCCCTCCAGGCCTCTCCTGCTCCCTCAGCTTCCCAATACAGGTACAGGCTTCCCTTTTGAGCCAACCTTCGCCCCAATGAGAGTGGTTACACAACCACGGTTCGATCCTTACGACCAGGTCCCGCTCCTCCCTCCTATCCCTCCCGTGGTCCCATGTGTCATACGTTGAGGAGCCGATGCGTGCTCTGTCCTCCTTGACGTCCCGCCCTGTCCCCTCTCAACCCGATCCGCGGGCCGCCCTTGATATCTTGCTGTATCGTAGTAAGAGCAGCAAGGATGAGACCAGGGAGATGAAGTGCGAGAGCAAGATGTTCGTGTTCGCCTGAATGACGAAGATGTCTACCGGCTGCACTGTCGGGGAGGCGATAGCCCCGCCCATCGCCGATTGGTTGATGACTAGGGGAGAAAACCCCTGCTGAGACAGCACTCGCGCCATCAGGTTTCCCACGAATTGCTCGGCGCCGATCAAGGCGGTGAGGAGGCCGAGCAGGTTGATGACAATAGCCGTGCGCACCACGCGTCGGACCATAGCCAGGGAGGTGGGCGGCTCCAGCACAGCCCGTCGAATGCGCTTGGCCACCCCCGTGAATCCCCAGGTCCAGAAAATGGAGATCGCACCCAGACAGAGCCCGCCGGCCGCGAAGATGTAGCCGTTGCTAAAGATGCTTTTTGCCGCCAGGGAGGGCCCCCCTCCGGAGGGGGCGACGAAGGAGTTCGTAAAGAACAGGATCACTCCCGCTACGGTGTTACAGATCACTTGCGCCCACCACGAGAACCAGGCGGTCGAATGCAAAAATTTCGAGTACTGACGAAGTTCGATTTTCAGACCTGCAAACAAGAGGGGGACAATGAGCCGGGAGGAGGCGGCGGGGAAAAAAGGGGGGACGCCAGCAAGGAGACCGCGACGTACCATCGCTCTTTAAAGTTGCAGCCGGGTCGCTGTCAGCATTTAAAGATGCCGCTTCGAGTGCAGGAAGCACGCCGAAGCCTTTCTGAGTCGCGAAAAGAGACGGCGGTGCCAGCTTCAAATTATGCCTGGAGGGGTAGAGACCCAGTGCACTGCTTTAGCACGCGTTCGTTTCCGCCCCCTCAATCATCCAAGCAACTCACCTTGGATACAAATGAAGAGCTTGTTGGGCATGTACAAGGCGGGCAGGGATATTGCTGAGAAAATATGCGTGGCCGACGCTGAAAAGAAAAATAGAGGCCACAGCCAGGCATGGAAGGAAGGAGCTAAGCCTTCGCACCATGCTTGCTGTCGAGCTCGCCCGCGGCAAGTCCTAGGAAAGGTACGCGCATCATGAGCAGGTCGTCCAGAAAGTCATGCATGGAACACCTATGTCAAGCAACCGGGCCATGACCGGACCGTGCCTGTGCCCGGTCCGCCCTCCTCCTGGGAGGGCATGTCTCGGACTGGGAGTCTCACTCGAGACGGCGAGGTCGGGGGCGAGGCCTGAGGAAAACCCGGCCCGGGCAGATTTTTCCAGTCCGCGGCCGCTTTTCGAATTGTTTTTCATCCCGCAGAATTGTTGGTTCGTCTGCTAGTGTCCACTGGGGAAGGCGCCTGCGTCCTTTTCCTGGCACCGCGTGGTCAGTAGCTTGAAAGGGAGGAGGGCGGGGCCGGGGGTGGGACGCCGCCAGTCGCACAGGCTTTCGACAGTCTTCCCTTTCCTCTTCAGACGGGGGGTCCGGTCGCACGGCGGAAACACGGTGATTTGCGACGGTGCTCTTCCTATTGCTTTTCGCCATGCGTTCATGTGTAAAAGGATCATGATAGAGGGTACGAAAAGTAGTCAAAATTGTGGATTTTGAAAAGAAAATTTGGTATCATGACTCGTCCGCTTGAGCCTGTATAGGTATATCACGGAGCCTAAATTTCAAGAGTCCTCTCACACATTCTGAATTTATGTTTTTAAATATCCGTGGACAGAAATATTTCGACGTTAGAGGTACTTTTGGCATGCGCGGTAGCAAGAAGTGAAACTTTTAATGAAAATTCTACCTGCGTCAATCCGTCACAGTTCGCAATCACACAAGCGGCCAATATGAACTTTTTCTATTTTTTTTTTTCGGCAGGGCCTACTTTCCCATGGCTACGGACGCAGGAAGAGTAAGACCAACATCTGCATCGTCTTCTGTCACAAACTTGAGTGATTCGCATGCGCCAATAACCGAGGAGATGGATGGTACATTCCTTCCTGCGACAGAAGTCGTGGAGGCGGAGGAGCAGGATGTTGTTGGCGCTTGGGGTCGCCCTATATCTCGTTTTGGTTTTCATCGGGTAAGCCGTGTGATATGCGTGGCTGCATTTTTCAAAATTTGCGTATCATAAATACTTTTCCATACGCATCCAAATACGTAGCACGGGGTCTATCGACGCAAGCCACGCCTGTTCCCAAGTAGCATGGTAGCAAACGCCCAACGGGTCGAATCAATATTCCTAAGACACTATCGGGAGAACATCTTGGACAAAATTCAGGGTGAAAAGGTAGAACCGATGAAGCCCAAGCGCCCCGTCCGACGGACAGCCGCCGCGGAGGCGGGGGACCCCGCACATTGCTTCAATGGCGACCGGAATGGCACGTCCCCGCCTCCGCAAGCAGGACATGTCCTTGGCAGGAGAGGGCCGGCGCTGAGTGATGTCGAACAGGCGCATCTTCCAGAAGGCCAGACGGACGAGAGCGAGCACACGCAACAGAAAGCATCGGCGGATCTGAAGGAATTGCGGAGAGCGACGCGCTCGACTGGAAGGGGGATCGAGGACTGGATCAAAATTCCTGTCGCGGCTACAGTGCGCGTCCCATCAGGGGATTTAGAGAAGCTGGATGGGATGGTCTACGTCAGCACCGACACGGGGGGTGAGTACTCGGAGTGACCTCTGAAATCCACCGGGTCCCCGCGGGCCACATGCTCTCCCTTTATCATTGCCTTTGCGAGCAATCGATGATCACTTGATGCACTGTCATGTCGCGCACAAACAGCTTTTTTCAGGCAGCAAGGGGGAGTATATTTCGAGACCATGTGGAAGGGCAGCGTCCACAAGTACTTCATTCCCGACTCGGAGCTTCCCATGGTCTCAGGTACGTCGAAGGTTCCTGATGTATTAGGCGTCATCCAATGGAGGTGACTTGTGGCAAGTACGGGGTGATTGCACGCACGAGTTCTCGCTCAGGGGCTGAACGTATCATCACTGCACATGCCCGCAGAGGACCACTTCCTTTTCAAGGAGGAAAGGGCGCGCATCGAGGAGGACAGGCTCAAGAGGTTAAGCCAGGCAAAGCACATGCTGGAGCTCGGGTGTACTAACGAGGAGGTCACCTTTGACATCGAAAAGAAGGCGGCTGACAGAACCCTTGAGGTAATGTGAAGTCTTGATCCGGGTTATGTTGAATCTTCCAGGCGCTCACTTACGCTTGCTGTGCACATCTAAAAGTCCCGAAAGGAAGAGCTTCGAGAGCGTATGCTGGGACGCGCTGAAGACATATTGGAGGAGTTGGAGGAAGAAGGTGAGTCCCATGGTATTAGACCTAGGCCGCCGCTGTCGGACGAAGGACTCATCAACCTTTTTGTAATTATCCTCATAATTTCAGTCGCCATCACAAGTCTGCCCCTCATTCGGGAGAGTTCCGCCCACCACAAGTCTCTGGCATGGTCGGGCAGCACTCCAGCTACCTCCCAAAGTCCAGCCCGCGTCAGAGCACGCAGAAGACGCTCGGGCAGTGAATTCAGCGATGCCGAGACCCTCGTTTTAGAAAAGGAAATCAAAGCAGCGCACAAAGAAAACAATGTTCCCAATCGATCGACACGCATGAATTCATCACGGAACTTATCAGCAAGTGCGGAGATGGGGCCGAGTGACTCGCAGCAACAGCCGCTTTTTCCGGCCTTGAAAAGTGATGTGTCGAAAATGGACTCATCCTCTGAGGGGAGGACAGATGCCCAGGACGTCGAAACGGAGTGCAATCTTCTGAAAGACGAAAATCAAGCTTATGAGAGCTTCTGCACCAATCGAATCAGCGTCATTGAGGAGTCGGGACCGGTGACACCTCCAAGCAAGCGACAAAAAATTAACGCAGCCGACCTAGCCATTTGCACGCTTGCCATCGCGTCGGATATCAGCACGGGACTTCGGGAGACTGGCTACGTTAGAGACTATGAATACGTAGATATACATGAGGTGGTAGTTGACAAAATGTTTCCCGACGCGGACTGGGGGGAGGACCAGGATTTAATCGTCTAGCAACCTCCCCACCCTTCCCCTCGGCGTGGCGTGCGAAATCGAAATTGAGAAAGAAATAGTGCATTATAGGTACAAGCTCCGTCTGGATGTAGCCTTTTCCCTTCGTCTTCGGGGGAGCTGTATTTATTTTGGTGGCTTGTCAGAATATGTATGTCTTTGAGATCCCACGGCCCATTTGCGGTATGATTCCAACACAGCAACCAGTCCGCATTTCTGCATCGTTAATGGCCTACAAGTATGGCCAGAGAAGTGGTATGGCCTTAAAGATTAGGAAAATGGCTTACTGTCAGATTAGCTCGTCGATTCACGACATTGCTCAGTATATTTCCCCCTCCTTTTTAAAAACAAAGACATCCGCGCACTGCCCCCCCAGGAGTGGAGAGCGGGTCAGAAAATCATGTGGAAAGGCAGCGCCTCGAAGAGACCAAAATGCCACTATCAAAAACGATTGTTTCGAATGCTTGTGGTCTTCCTTTTGAAAAGCATTTCATGCGCTTTTCAGGGCATGCCTTCCTTCGTTAATTCAGGTCGTGGAATTGACAGGAGGGGCCCCCACACCCATGTGACCTCTTCAATACGCGGGCAGGCCGACACAAGTAATGTCCTCGTGACATCGTATGCTGAAGATGCAGTTATCTGGGATGTACCAGTAGGAATTCAACGGGGAGAACCACCAAGCGACCTTAAACCCAACTATGTTACCTTCCTTGGCTTGGCAGAGGTCTTCCAAGACCAGGATGGAATCAAACTCGCAGATTTATTCGATACCGACGATGGTTTTAGGTAAATTACTCATCAAATTCGACCTCAAACCCTTAAATGTCCAATTTGGGAGGGTCGCTCACTATTTTACAAATTCTCTGAATCAGGCATGCTATCCGTGTGGCCATGCGGGAAGATCTTTTTATACCGGACCCGACACGTTCTGAGAAGGTGAATCGCTTTCTCAAAGACCTTGGCTCCTCCTTGCACGTCTGTTGGGAGAAGTCTCCAACAGGATACGCGAATTTGTCTCGGTAGGTGGTCAAAAAAGTGACTCTATCGGAGGGATTTGTGTAGTGGTATTATTCTCTTCAGACCAGGGCCCATCCTCTGTCCTGTCTTCGTCACACACGATGTAGGGTTTTCAAGCAATACGGGATCGGAAATTTAGACGGAGCGACATTTATCAAGAAACTAGGAGGCATGGCCGGGGGCGGTCCTCAAATCAAAGACTCAGACGGTTTCCTGCTCCGTCAGAAGCGTTTTGGGAGTCTCATCGATATTGTCACAGCAGGAAGCCGCCTCAAGCCTGCCCATTCGTGGCACCAGGATTGCAATTTACCGCAGATGACTGTCATGCTAGGGTTTCCCAAAACTAGCGGCTATCTAGGCACGGGTGTCTTCTCTCATGCCATCAAATTGAGTCACCCATTGAAAGACCAGGTACCCGGTGGAGGGCAAGTAGTCCAATACGATGAGTATGAGGGTGTCGGTAAAGATCCAAAATTACCAAATATTTTGCCTGAATCCGTGATATTGCGGCCTCGGTACGGGAAAGGGCGAGAGATAATGATTTACGACGACAGCTGGCATATACATTCCGCTCCTGACCACATCTATCGGACGTCTGTATGGAGATTCATGTAAGATAATTTCCCAAAGTACTGCAAATCCTATCACCTCGATGCGGGTAACGCAACGTCTGAAATGCTTTCGATCGGACTGCTAATTCCAGTCTTGCTCCGCAAAATCAGCTCCTGGTAATATGACTGGCCAGCTTTCCTCATCGACATGGTCAACGGTGGCTATCAAAGATGCCTCGGCTGGAAAATCGTACCGCCCAAAAATATAAAAAAATATGTCGTCATAGTTTGAAAGATCTCCCACATCGTATTTTGAACCGATAACTTTGTCGAAGTAGCGAACCCGAAAGCTACCTCTGGCTTGAAACAAGGCTCGCCATCTGTACGAAAGCATTACCGTCTCCAACCAAAACTGCACCGTATGAGTCGTTTGCGGTAGGGCAAGGATTGTTGTCTGCCAGTTTCTTGTCTCAACATAAGCATGCACATATGCTATCTCATTAAAATTATTGAACACTGCGGTCAGATCATTGAACCATTCCTTGGTAGCGGCCCACACAAGCCGTGGCTCGTTTAAAGCCTGGCGGTTTCCCCCTAACCCATTTAATATTCGATAGCGAGGTGCAATTTCTAAAACAGCTTCAACATTAGATCGTACGGTGATTGTATCAAATGCGATTGTATTCCAGTCGAGTGTTATGGCGCGCGCCACAGTCAGTCCTTGGCCGTAGGCTGTCGTACAGATAGCACTTTGCTGTGGGTGTTCATTTATACATTGCATGAGACCAAAGGGTAGCGGAACCCGAGGACGCAGCCAACGCCGGTAATCCGAGATCAGTAAAGCTTGTTGTTCAAGCCAAAGTTCCGCTCGTGCACCAGTCAACGCGTCACCTGACAGCGACAACAGTTTACAACGGAATGAGTCGGACGTGGCAGAGGTGTCAGTCACAGCAATGGAACACTCCTGATGCCCCCGATGTTTCAGATCAGAGCTTAGGCTAAAAACTGATAGGCGGAGGAACCGAGATGCCAAAACTCGGAGCAAGCACATGGGCTTCAAGATCGCGGGATCAGGATATGTCTTTTGAGAGTGGTTCTTTCTCCCTCTCTCTTCTGAGACGTCCATACACCGCAGTTTGCCATCTACAAGGACCACAACATGATTTCGCTGCCGCAAAGTAAAAGATCCATCCTCTTCGTTTATAAGTGCTAGAAAAGTTGCTCCCCCCGTATCGTCTTCCGCGACGACGTGAAGGCCACCCATGTCAGGACTACAAGCAAGAAACATGCCCGAAAACTCGTGCCGCAAGCGTACTTTAAACTCATTTTTGATATTCCCGTCTGCTAAAATGAACAATTGCCAAGAATCGAAAGGGCTTAAAGAAGTGGCCGAAAGCGTCACAGCCTTTGTGTCGCTTTGTCGTTTAAGCTTTTTGCATACAAAACAATTGACACCCTGGGACGTACCGAAGGTGTCCATCACATAGCCACTTTTGCCAGCTGTGTACATACTTTGTTGGCTTGAGACATCGTTTCGATCGCACACATGCTGTACCCATCCTCCGTCGGCGCGCAACTGCGCGCACGGGCGTCCATACGACTCTCGCATAGGCGCAGTCCAGTTACTGTAAGAAAGTGATTTCTTTCCATGTTTCCTCCCATCTTCCATCGCTGTTAACATTGCACCAGCTCCAAGCCATCCCTGACAGCCGCTTTGGAGCCTTGTGACGAATGCGTTCTCCTCTGCAGACGTAGGTACGACGACAGATGCGTCGGCATGATGCTCTGTACACAGACGTTCGGCGTTAGCATAGTCTGTCGTCACGGCCCAATGTAGCGAGTAGCATGCTTTTTGAAAAGTATGCCATTGTGTATAGCCTTCCTCTGCCTCGCTTCCCAAACAAGGCCCGGCTGCAATGAGATACGAGTCCCCTGAGTTTCTACTTAGCACTTTGAGAGGTGTACTATCTGTCAAAGAGCTCTCGACTTTGCTTCGGAAAGTTGGTGCATTATTTCGATAATCGAATGCTAGCTGCTCTAAAACTTGAAGGATAATATTTCTACTTCCTGTAAAAGACACGGTAAAAAGCCTGCCGTCGCGGCTACCGCAGCACGTCATGTGGAAGCATGAAGCACGGTCGGGGTTACATGGCGCGTCACACTTGCCGGCATCAACCTGCCAAATAAAAGTAGGATGATTTCCTTTACGAAATCAAATCTTGAATTGTGGAACAAGACCTGATTTTATGGCTGATTTTATTGTCGTACCTGATGAAAGGCGCTTGGGTAGTCGTTTCCGCATAAACATTTAAATGGATTTGAGCGGGTGGCCGCGAGCGCATATCCTTTTGCAGTGCACAGTGCTTGACAGCGGCGATTATTTTTTATGCCAAGTATGTGAGAGGGGATAAAAGGCTCATTCAATGCATCGAAATGGTCGAAGCATCCCTCCACATTTCCATCTGTCATGCCTTTCTTCACTTTCCGGCGTTCATTTGCCCTTTTATAATCTAATTGAGCGGTCGCGTGGCACATTAAAGTCCACACTATCATATGTGCTAGTATATGGTAGACAACTGCTATGGAATGCGTTCTCACAACGACCATGTACGATCATGGATCTTTTCCTCTTGCCGCAGGACGATAGGATTCTGCAATTAAATATGACAACATTACGCCGTGTGGTGAGCGGACCGTTATATGTATAGGATTGAGCACCA